GTATGTAGAGCCATAGGCTGTGTCCCAGGCGATCTATGCAGAGATGGCAAGTTTTGGGGCAAGAAAAGTGGGGCAGGGGCAGTGGTAGGTCTGGCACTTAGCAGTCTGGTCTGTTGGCAGTATCAGACAGTGAGTGGCAACTGAGAGGACATCAAAGGGCTAATGGCTTGTGGGCCAGCAATAGGAGGAGGGCTCGAACCTCTTGTTTAATTAGAAAGATTCCAGGCTTATTGATGGGATGGGTGGGGGTGGAGGTCAGGAGACTGGACCATCTCACTACCTCTTGGCTTCATGGAGAGCTTGGATGTGTTCAGAAAGGAAGGTTAAAACTCAGGGTCTGGCAGGAGCCCAGGGTGGAGACACTGGCCCTGAGTAGTAACTGCCCAGGCATGGCCTTGACCGACCAAACCCTTGGGTATAGTCTAGAATGAGGACCCTGAGTGTTAGCTCCAAGCCAGGTCTACCACCCTGTCCCATGGAGCTCACTGGGTGCTTCCTAGTGCCACTCCTGGCTTCCCAGAGGAAGCAGTGTCTTAAACTTGTAGAGTGAGTAGAACTTAGAGGGAATGGGGGCAAAGATGTCAGGTTGGAGGCCCTGAAAGCTTAGAGGGTTGAGAAGGGGGCACAAGAGCCAAAGTCTTCAGGGCCTCGTGGCAGGGTAAGTTTAGACTTTGCACTAAGACATCCTGTCTGGGGTCAGGGAGCTGGCTGGCCATGGGATTCAGAGCCCTGCTGGACACCATGTTTGGGTGTGTATTGTCCTCAGATGGGAGATGTCCAAGCTGATTCCCCTTCTTCTTGTTCTGAATGTGTGGGGTATGGAGGCCTGGGTATAAGGACAGGGGCTGGAAACATTAGCTCCAGGTCAGACCCTCTTCTCAGACTGAGTAAACTTTGCTCACAGCAGCCTGGTCTCAGATGAATTCTGTAAATTCCCCGAAGGGGTTGGTGAGGGGCCCTGGGTCTGGGCCTCAGCAGGGGTCGGCTGGCCCATGCTGGGTATGTGGCTGGGCTGCTGACTGGCACTTAGGGAACTGTGTGTGTCTAAGCTGTTGTCCCTAGAGAGCTCTGCTGGCTCTGGAGCACGGTGTCACCGTCAGCACAGAACGTCCAGAGGCTTTTCCAGAACTTTCCTTTCATGTGCCTGCAAACCCCTGATGTGGGTTCAACTCCGTTTTCTTTTCTTGATACTGTAGAAAGGAAGTGCTTCTCACTGTAGATCTTCCCTGAAGCCTCACAGATCTCAGGCCACATCATCCTCTTGCCCAGTGGTAGGCCCAGGGGACACCTATCAGTGGGACTGTTTAGGTGCAGCAGGAGGAAGAACAGGGTGAATGGAGTTGTGACCTACGGTCCAACAGACTGACAGAGCTGACTGCTGCGTCTGGGGCCCCGCGGCAACTGTGGGTTTCCTTTCGCAGTGCCCAGCATCCGTTGTCAGAGGCCCTTGCAGCTGGACCCACGGGATGGGAGGGCTGCCTGCCAGGGCTCCTCATGACACCCTTTTCTCTACAGCCTTGGAGGCTTGGCCATAGTTCAGCCTTTGGAAAAGCTTCTTTCCTCTTCCTTACCGTGAGGAAGGCTGAGCTTGCTTCCACTGAGGGACAGAAACTGCAGAGTGAGAAGTAGGGTTAGACTAGAAGAGATGTGAGGAAGTGGTTCAGCCCCGCCGCTATGAGATGCAGGCTGTGAGGTGCTGGGCAGGTGGTGCTCTGAGAACTTGAAACCCACCATCACTTTCCAGAGCCAGGCATGGAGTAGCGTGTTCAGGGACTGGAGCGCAGACCCAGAAGGCAGTGAAGAGGTGCCCAAGCAGTGTCTTGTATCAAACCTATAGGTGTTTAACATAACCTCACACACCTATTTGCCCCTCTTCTTGTATGAAGCCCTTTCCCTCCTTGCCTTTCTGGAGGACTGAGGGTCTCAGCTTTATTGGGGGACAATTACAGGGACACTTTGTTTCTAAGTAGCATAATTTGCAGAGAAGGAATATAGAGTGTAGTCTAGGAGCCAGGATAATCTTGGGTTCAGGTCTAGGCTCTATAATGATCACCATGGGAACTGAGCTACTGAGCCCTTTCTAACCTCATTTGTTGAAATAATAGGGTCTGCCTCGTAAGGTTGATGTGACAATGAAATCTTTGGAAATCATTTAAGACCTGCCTGGTACGAATGCATTGTTATTGCCATTAGTATTTTTACTATTTGTGCCCTGTGACTGACTGGTGTGTCCCCTCCCCCTTCCTCTCTGGTTCTATGCCATCTTTTCTCCCCACTCCCCAAACAATGGCCAGTGCTTGTTTGGGCTGAAGGTGGTGTCCAGGCCAAGATAGCCCTCTTCTGGACACTCTCAGTCCTCCATAGGGGTGACAGGGTCCTGGAAGCAGGAATCTTCTAAGATGAGTCAGCCTCCCCCATCCTGCTCCATGAATGGCTTCTAAGCAAGTCCCTGCTCCAGCTTGGAGCCTGCCAGTGGGGCCCCTGAGTGAGAATCTTCTTTGATGTGCAGCGTGGGAGGCAGATGAATCCACTCTGTGGGTGAGCAGGTCCTGCCACTCTGTCTGGGATCCCCTTCACAGACTCCCCATCTTCCCTCTGCAAACTCTCGGATGGATGCTGTCCCGGTGGCCCGTGCCCAACACCACATGTGCACCCGTGGGCACGTGCACCAGGTCCCAAGCCTCTGCTGCAGCTCCTGTGACAAGTGGCAGCGCTGTGATGGGGAGATGTCAGTGTGCATTCTGTTGGGGAAGGGGTTGACACGTGCACTGAGCACCCAGGGGTCTCCCAGCCCCCTGGAGACAAGTGGACCTGCCCCTTCCCTGCCCTAGCATGTCTTCTTTCCTTCCTGTCTCAGTTGCTGAGATGGACTTCTGGTTTGGTTGGCTTAATGGTCCCTCCGAGAGACCTGCAGCTGGGCCAGCCTTTGTCCTCTGCTTGCTTCCTAGTGACAGCCTGGGTTCAATCCCGTGGCTGGCTTTGGGGTTTCTAATCTGAATCGGGTTGGTTGTCAGGAAATGTGAGCTTGAAAGCAACAGAAAGGGGTCTGTTCACAAGCCGGTTCCTTTGGCTGTCGTGTTCTCTGCTTGTATAGACACTCTCCCGCATGCTGGGGGGTCTAAGGACATTCGATGCTCTGCTTGTTTGGCCTCCCCCTGCCCCCCCTCCCCCCCAGCTTCCATATATGCAGTAAAAGGGGTTATGAGCTGTGAAGCCCTCTCTCTCCCTCTCCTGGGGCTGGAGCTGAGGGAGGAAATGGAGGAGGAAGTTCCACCCCTTCTGGGTGCTGGGCGAAAGTGAAAGATAGGGAGGTGGCTGGAGTGAGTCACCGAGGTCCTGGAGCCAGAGGAAGCATGCAGAGGAGTGATAGCGCTGAGGCCCGAGGAGGGGCTGGGGGGATCGCTGGGCGGAGCCAGGGCTTTGTGCAGACCTGCCCTGAACCTGCCCAGCCCCCGTCCTCGTTGGCTCAGGGTGACTGACAGTGACTTGGGCCCCAGGTCAGCCAGGGCTGCCTGAACCCCACCCTCCTCTTTGCCTCTCCTCTCCCCTCCCCTCCTCCCTGACAACCAGATCTTAGTGTGAGGAAGAAGTGGGTCACAACAGCCCCCCCCCCCCAGGGAGGAAAACAATGAGCTCTCGGAAGCAGAAAAAAAAAGCCTTTCAAAATACACACAAGCAGTTGTGTTAAGTTATAAAATACAGGTCTTGTGTCTCTGTTCTGTGTTGTTGTGTGGCATAGCCGACCCTCAAGTAGGTTTTTCACTGTGTTCTGCAGCAGGATAGAGGAAGTTGGTTTTGGTGTTGTGTGTTTTTATTTTATTTTATTTTTTAATCAAGTTAATAAACTGAACCAGAAAAACTCTGCATGCTCTAGTCATCCTCATTAGGAGAAGGTTTGTGGGCCTGTGTCCTCACAGCCTGCACCCCAGTGTCCTGGCTTTGCTGTCCCTGTGCTCTTTGGCAGTGGGAGGAAGGGACTGCTGGGCGCTTGCTCACTGGCCCATCGGCCAGGGCTGCAGAACAGGTTCTGTGCTAGTTTGGGGAAGGCTCTGACAGCCACAGCCCCACCCAGGAGTCCCTCCCAGGGGCTACTGTGCCTGCACATGCCCTCCTGGGGCCTCACCTATAGGCCTCAGGGCTGGACTCTGTCAGGACCCATGACGCTCCCAGCACTCCCTTGGGTGAACAGCAGGATGGCTGCCACGTCTAGAATGGCTCCTGTTGGCTTCACTTTCTGTGTCTGACATGCACGCAGAATGTCAGAGGAGGTGTGACTGCACAAAGACCCTTCTGGGTCCAGTGAGGAGGTTACTGCACAGACAGATGACAGAGGGGGACCTGGCGTGGCTACCTGGTGGGCTGGGGCCTGGGTTAAGAGGAGCAGGGATCCCATGGCTCTGCTGCCCCTTCTCCCAGATTGGCTGATAGATCTCGGGCTGGATGTAAATTCCATCTGTCCCATATGCAGTTGCCTTGGTGCACAGATGACACATCCTAAGGTGGTGGTCCTGGTGCCCACTCAGGAGGGTGAGGTGGTGGGAGAAGAGAAGGGTCACAGAACACCTTGGGAGAAGCTGTTGTCATGGAAACAGTCCCCAAGGGTCGTGGTTCCTACCTCACCAGTGCTGTTCCTTGATGCAAGGCTCATCCCTGGGACTTGAGGTGGTGGAGTCAGAGGGCCTTGCAGGCCCTGCCCTGAGCCTGGGCTGGGAGACATGGCTGACGCTGTCACTGCTCTTCCCTCTGCAGGCTGTGGGACCCCGTGGAGGAGCAGCATAAGCTGGGACGTGCAGATGAGCTCCAGAGCATCACTGTGAAGACGAAGAAGGAAGAGTCAGCTGTTCTTCTCCGCGTGCCTCACCTCACCACCAGCCCCTTCTGCAGTCCGGCTCTGCCCTCGTCCATTCCTGGGCTAGACCTCGGCTTCCTGCAGGACCTTTCCCCAGGGGATGGGCAACTGGTGAAGCAGGATTTACTGCTGCCCCGGCCCCACTGGCCACACCATGAACCTCCAGGCCCAGCCCAAGGCTCAGAACAAGCGGAAGCGTTGCCTCTTCTTCGGGGACCAGGAGTCAACTCCCAAGGAACAGCCCCCACCGCTGCAGGCCCCACAGCAGGCCCCAGCCCCTACACAGTCCACCCGAGTGAAGGAGGAACCGTACTTTGGGCACGAAGGTTCATCGGGGGGCATCCCCACCTCTCAGCCTGTGGATCTGCCCCCGCCCAACAGCCTGACCCTGCTGAACTCCGTGGTGTATGGGTCTGAGCGGACCACAGCTGCCATGCTGTCCCAGCAGGTGGGCTCAGTCAAGTGGCCCAGCGCAGTGATGGCTCCGGGGCGAGGGCCAGAGCGGGGAGGTGGAGGTGTCAGTGACAGCGGCTGGCAGCAGCAGCCAGGCCAGCCTCCGCCTCATTCCACCTGGAACCGCCACAGCCTGCCGCTCTACAGTGGACCGAAGGGGAGCCCTCATCCTGCCATGGGGGTCTCTACCTACTATAACCACCCTGAGGCGCTGAAGCGGGAGAAAGGGGGTGGCCCACAGCTGGACCGCTATAGGAACACAGTGCAGCCCATGATGTCGCAGAAGGTGCAAATGGAGGTTGGGCGGCCACAGGCCCCCCTCAACTCTTTCCATTCAGCCAAGAAGCCCCCAAACCAGACATTACCCTTGCAGCCCTTCCAGCTGGCCTTCGGCCACCAGGTGAACCGGCAGGTCTTCAGGCAGGGCCCTCCACCCCCCAACCCCGTCGCAGCCTACCCTCCCCAGCAGCAGCAGGCAGCCCTGCCCCAGATGCAGCTCTTTGAAAACTTCTATCCCATGCAGCAGCCGCCGGCCCAGCAACCCCAGGACTTTGGCCTGCAGCCAGCCGGGCCGCTGACACAGTCCCACCTGGCTCACCACAGCATAGCCTCCTACCCTTTCCCTCCCAACCCCGATATGAACCCAGAACTGCGAAAGGCCCTCTTGCAGGACTCAGCCCCACCATCTGTGCTACCTCAGGCCCAGATCCCCTTCCCCCGCCGCTCCCGCCGCCTCTCTAAGGAGGGGGTCCTGCCACCCACTGCCCTGGATGGGGCTGGCACCCAGCCTGGGCAGGAGCCCGCCAGCAACCTGTTCCTTCATCACTGGCCCCCACAGCAGCCGCCCCCTGGCCCCCTGGTGCAGCCTCATCCTGAAGCGCTGGGGTTCCCCATAGAGCCAAGGGAGTCACAGCTGCTGCCTGATGGGGAGAGACTGGCCCCCAACGGCCGGGAGCGGGAGGCTCCCATCCTGGGCACCGAGGACGGCATGCGGGTAATGGGCTCGGGGGACTGTGGGCAGCTGCTCCGAGGCGGGGTGATCCAGAGCACACGACGAAGACGCCGGGCATCCCAGGAGGCCAACCTGCTGACCCTGGCCCAGAAGGCGGTGGAGCTGGCCTCGATGCAGAGTACAAAGGTGAGAGTAACAAGGAGGTGGAGGCGGGGCTTGGCTGGGAGTAGGGTGAATGTCAGGCAGTAAGAGAAGAATCAGCTGGAGCCACAGGGCAGTGTTTTCAATTCAGTGATGGGAATGGGCCTCTTCATTCCAGGGACTGCTGAGCTCCCTGCATGCAAAGGACCCCTGAGTTAGAGCACCTGATCACACATGTGAGGCTAAAAGGCAGTGTGTTGGTGATTACACAGGTGACTGCATAAAACTATAAAATGTTATGTGCCGTCATGTTGAGTATGACTCATAGCGACCCTGTGAACAACAGATGTCCAGTGCCGTCCTCATCATCCCGACACACTTGAGCCCATTGTATCATTCCATCTGGTCTTCCTCTTTCGCCGACCCTCTACCTTTCCAATACTGTGTCCTTTTCCAAAGAATAGCCCCTTCTGACAACGTGGGCAAAGAATGTGAGACAACGCTTCACCATCCTTGCCTCCAAGGAACACTCAGGCTGTACCCTCTGCAAGTGTCTTTTGGCAGTCCGTGGGATTTTCAGAACTCTTCTCCAAATTACAACTCAGAAACACTGATTTTTTTTTCTTCTGTCACTGGTGGCTTAGTGGTAGGAAGCTGTGCTGCCACCCCAAAAGCACACAGTTGGGGTCCACGGAAGAAAGATGAACAATCTCCTCCTGTGATTTACAGCCTCTGAAAACTCACTAGAGGGTCAGCTATGAGTCTGTTCCTACTCAGCAGTCCATAGCAACCACAAAAACAAACATAGGTGCATTTTATTGTATGCAAACAAAACTACTATGATAACATGGGCTGTTGTTTTTTTTTAAAAAAAAAAAAAAAAAGAAAATTTTTTTAAAATGCTTGATAATGAGTAATCGTCATCAAATCCTCTGAGAGAAAAGCCGTCATTTAGCCCCCTTTTGTAGTTAAAGAAACTTAGGAAGCCAAGTGGGATTTCCTGAGACCACATGCTTAGGATAGAAGTCTAGTGGAGCAGAATCCAAAGCCTTTCACTACAAGTTGATGTCTGTAGGACGAGCCTGATGGGTATCGGAGACTGCAGAATTTGTGCTGTCCTTAGAGCAGCCAGGCTTTGCTTGTAGCCTATTGTTCATGCAGGCAGTAGACACAACCCTTCTCCTTGCCACACTTCCCTTTTTTCTTTTCTGAGGCTGAAATGTGTTTTGTATATTTAGATACTATTTTGTACGTCACTAAGGATCCTCAACAAAATGGATTGACGTTAACTGCAGCAATAGGTTTGAGTGTGTCAGAGATTGTGAGGATGGCACAGGATAGGACAGAGTTCAGAGCTGAGTCGTACTCAACTCGAGGGCACGTAACAATAATAACAGCCACCTTACGGAGACCAGTCAAAGTGTTTCTGAAAGCCCTTGGGATATGATATAGCCATCGGGAGACCCTTTCTCCAGACCAGACTGGGGAGACTTGACAGAGGGGAGTTTATTCAGGGCATTTGGGAAGGGGGAACCATCATGGTTTGTGAGTCCCTGGGTTAAATGAGGCTGGAGTCATCGGGGAGCAGCTCAGGACTCAACCTTCTGGACTTCACTTCCATTCCCTCACTCTTTTCCAGGATGCCAATGGCTCAGAGGAGAAGAGGAAAAGTGTATTGACCTCAACTACCAAGTGTGGGGTGGAATTTTCTGACCCTTCCTTGGCCGCCAAGCGAGCACGGGAGGACAGTGGGATGGTCCCCCTCATCATCCCAGTGTCTGTGCCTGTGAGGACTGTGGACCCCGCCGAGGCGGCCCAGGCTGGAGGTGCTGAGGAGGATGGGCAGGGCCCGGAGCAGAACCCCACTGAACACAAGCCGTCGGTCATCGTCACCCGCAGGCGGTCCACCCGGATACCCGGGACTGATGGCCAACCTCAGGTAGGAGAGGCTGACTTACATCCAGTACGCGGATGCCGCTGGGCCTTCACATTCCAGTGGAAATGTGGCAATGTAGGTTTCAAGGAACAGTTTCAGATCCAACTGAAAGACAAATGCAAGATAATGAGACAATCTTGTGTGGAATTGAAATTTTCCAGGAAAATCTCAGATGTGTGGATCTCTTTGATTTCAGGCCAACAGATTTTGATTGGTCCTCCAACATAGGTCAGCCTCTGTGTGGTAGACACCACAATATAGTGATGTCCTGCCAACATCCTTCTTTCTTTTGAGAGAAGCCAAAAACAAAACTCTTTGCCATTGCGTGTATACTGATTCAGAGCAAACCTTCGTATTTCCAAGGCCATAAACCTTTTTTTATGGCAGGAAAACACTTTATGGATTCGAATTGCTGACCTTTTGGTTATATGGTTGAAGTCTCCCCCCAGAACTAAGATTTTGTCTATTTCTGCTCTGAGTTCCACAGTGTTTGTTGCATATATCTTAAGGGATTGGTGTGGAGTAGTCAGTAGGCAGTTGCACTGCTTACCCAAAGGTCATATCTCCCTGGTGGTTTGAATCCACAGAAGAAAGATGGGCAGTGTCTTTCCATGTAATTTGTGTGTTGTTGTTGTATACCGTAGAGACAGAACTGAGCCATCGCTGACCCTCTGGTGGGTTTTCAAGGGCAGTTAATCGCATGTGAGGATATTGTGCATCCTTCTCTCATAGAGCATCTGGTAGCCTTGAACTGGGTGCCTTCAGGATTGCAGTGCAGCTTCTTGTCATGAGGCCACCAGAGCAGGCCATTACCATGTAAATCACCATGTGATTTATAGCCTGTCAAAACCCACTGGAGGGTCAGCTATCACTTGGTTTTGACTTGACAACAGTGACTTTTGAGTTTTTTTAATCAAACACAAACTTACGAGTAGATTAGAGACTTTATTATTATGAAATGCTTTTTTCTATCTGGTAATTTTTTTAAACCTTTTAGAATCTACTTCATCTGATATTAATAGCACAACAGCAATGAGCTTGATCATGGTAGAGGTTGTGAGGATGGCATGGGGTAGGGCAAGGTTTTTATCTGTTCCTCATAGGGTCGCAGTGAGTCATAGTTAATTCCACGGCACCTAACACCTGTACCACCAGCTTCCTTTTAGCTAATGTTTGCAATATAGGTTTCCTTCATCCTTTTACTTTTAACCTGTCTATCCTTATGTTTAAGGTATATCTTTCAAATGCTGTAAGGATGGGCCTTGTTATTCTCCAGTCTAAGTTTACTATTATCCATTGAATGAATGACATTGAATGCTCAAGTATTATTTCACATTGAATATAATTGAGGATAATATCCGTTGCCCCCACTTCCAACCTTTTGTAACCTTACAGGACAGAACAGTACAGACCCCTAGAGTTTCCATGCTGTAAGTCTTTACAGAACCTTACCATTGTATCTTTCTCCTGCAGAGTAGCTGGTAGATACAAACCATCAACCTTTTGTTTCATAACCAGGTGCTTAACCACTGTGTCACCAGGGCTCATTAATTACAGATTGATCTAGGTATAAAACTGCAGTCTTCTGTTTGCTTTCTATTCATCCCATTCTGCCTTTTGTGTGTTCTTTTTACCCTCTTTTTGTGTTTCCTGTGTGTTGATTTGCTCTGTTACTCGGGTTCCTCTTTTTAATAGCTTTCATTTTATACCCATTTATAGTAGTATTATTAATTTCCCTTCCAGCATTTAATTCCCTCCTTTATGCAGGTGAACTAGTGTAAAGAAAGTGATTTGAGTGACTATATTCTCAACACTCCATAGACTGGCATATAGCTGGTACCCTTCTAGATGAATGAAGAAGGAAACCTATAATGTATGATGAATGCCTTATGACAATAGGGCTTAATTGGCTGGGAGTAGAGGGAAAGCTGCTAGAGGCCAAAACATGCATCCTTGGCATGTTGAAATGGAGTCATTTTACCTTGTCTTAGATAATGCAAGTTTCTAAAAAATCCTGCCCCCTCCCACGACTTAAAGATAATGCATTTTTCTTTCTCTTTATTTTAATAGCCACAGGAAATTATAATATTGTTGTCTTTGACTATCTGGAAAATTATTTCATTTTCCTTCAGTTTTGAAGGATAAATTTCCTGGGTAAAGAATTCTAGATTGGCAGTTACTTTGATACTTGAATGATTCCACTGGTTCCATTAGGCTGTTCTTGCTTTTACACTAGTAAAGAAATCACTCTAAGTCATATCACGGTGCTTTTGTATGTTGTTGTAAAGTGCTGTTGAGTAGTGACTGATTCATAACTGATCCTCCACTGGTTTTTCATGGGGTGTAAATTGCACAGGAGGAGATTGCCCATCTTTCTCCCATGAAGCAGCTGGTAGATTTGAACTGCTTACCTTAGGGTTGGTTGACAGCGCGGCTCCTTACCCACTAGGACTCCAAAGCTCCCTATTCTTTTGCATATAAAGTGTCAGTTCTTCTTGCCACTTTTAAGATTTTTTCCACCTTTAACTTTGGTTTCTAGCAGTTTTACTATGTTGTACTTAAATCTGGTTTTCTTTTTATTATTCTGTTTGGAACCTGTAGTACTTCTTGAATACTTTTTCTGCCACAGTTTCTCTGTTTATGTCTTCTGAGACTTCAGTTACGCATTTGATAGAATTTTTCATATCTCCACAATAGAATGTCTGTCATGTGAGTTTCTGTATTTTCCATCCTGTTTTTCCTTTTCCTTCAGTCTGCTCATTCTTTATCTTATTTGTTGTTAAATCTATTAATTGAGGGGTTTTAAATTATATTTTCCAATTACAGAATTTCCGTGTTGTTAATTTTTCATTCCCAGTTCTTTGATGACATGTTCAACCTTTCATTTCATTGAAAAATTTAAGCTTAGCCTTCTTAAGGTTTATGTCTGATAATTCCATTGTGAGCCTCTTTTACTTGTTATGTCTCTTGGTTTTAAATCACACCTTGCTGCCTATGTAGCTGGGTTGTTTAAATCAAATACCAGACACATATGAATAAATTGGAGAAGTAATTAAAAACCCTGGGTGATGTTTTCCATCTCCAGAGAGAATTTCTATTTACTTCTTCTGACAGGCAGCAAAGAGTGCTAGAAGTCTGAATCACTTAATCTGATTGAGATAATTAGAATCTGGCTTCCATCTAAGATACAATCTTATTTCTGACTCACCTGAATCTGAGTGATATAACCCTTTGGAGATCCAGTCCGAAGCCTAGCCAGCCTTCCTTGGCAAGCCCTTAACTTCCTTTATTTTATTCTACTAACTCCTTGACTTTGTTAAATCTCTCTGCTCAGTTTTTCAGCCTCTAAGGTATTGACATCTGCCTTTAGCAAAAACAGTTATAAATGCCGGGTTCACCACTTTGGATTTCCTTCTCTCCCTGGATCTTGACCCTTTAATGCTGTGCCAACTTATTTGCTCTCCAATACTTTCAGAAATGTGCGTTTTATATTTAGTCTGGCTTTTCTAAGTTATTCTCAGCTGGAAATTTGGCCTCTAGGCCTCTGCTCCCTAACTGGAAGAGTGCTCCAAGGTTTATTTTGAGCAGCTCTGTCTTTGTTTCTAGGGTCTTGTTCTCTTTCTGGAGACAGGAGACCAGTGGCTTAAACAGCTTGTCCTAAGAGTCAGCAGGAAGGAACCTTAGCAATGACATAGCCAAACGCCCATATTTCATAGGTGACAGAACAGGTTCAAGGAACCAAGTTCAAGGAATTCCAGCTCACACTGCAATTTGGAGCTAGGCCTCTTGGGGAGATTTTTGTTTTAATGGAGTTTTTTGTTGTTTTTGTTTGTTTTTATTATAAACCTTTTCAATCAAATCATGCACAAAAGTAGATGGAATGGTAGATGAGCCTTCCAGTGTTTACCTGTCATCAGTTATCAGATGACAGCCAGGATTGTTCCATCTTTACCACCACATCTGCCTGTGGTTGTATTGTTTTGAAGGAAATCTCATTTTGCTCATAAACATTTCACTTTGTACCTTGTACTTGTTTTTTCTTCACAGTGAAAGAATTAACAATAATTTCCTAATATTATAAACAAAAACAAACTATGTCAGGTTTGGAAGCAGGAGTGGCATCCACTTCCTAAACAATATGCCTCCGGAAATTCTATGAACTTTGATAAGTGTAGATAGTTGTAGAGGTGCTTCAGGCCTTTTGTTCATAGGGTTGCTATGAGTCGTGCTCAAGTCAAAGGCACTCAACAACAACAACATTATAAACTATTCATAATAGTTTATCTCTGTTGCCCTTATAAAAATACAAATCTGTAATAAGAATCAAGGTGGAGGCATCTGACCTCCATTAATCCCACAAGGGAGAAGAGTCTTCATCAAGAGCCTCCGCAGCATAAACCTAATTTCCTTTGCAAGAAGGTGTACTGCTATCCCAGACGTGCACGGTTCAAATCCACCAGATGCTCTGCTGGAGAAGGAGGAACAATCTCCTCCTGTACCAGTCAGATCTGATTTGACGGTACACACACAAAATAATAAAATAAAATAAGTTAAAAAAAATAATAAAAATAAAAATTTAAAAAAAAACACCAATAAACAAACAAACCTAATTTCCTTGAGAACAGACACGTCCCACACTCCTCACTCCTACTTCTGCCAATCCTGACGCCAGCGGCCTCTCCCAAGGCACACGCGGCTCTGCTGCTAGGTCTCATAATCTTTTGCACTGATCACTTGGAACTCACAGAACGGTACTTACATGTAAGGACTTTATTAGGGAAGTTAACAGGTTGAAAACAGGATACAGTTCTTCAGTTAATAAAAGTGTGCTCACAGGCCACTTGACCTTGAGTTTCATGACTATAGGTCAGCATTACAAAGCTTTCTTAACCTTTCCGTTTATGGCACCTCCCCTCAAGTCCTCCAGTAAACTTGGACAAGGCCTCCAGGCTCTTGCTCTGTGGCTCAGCATTCTCTCATCAGCTCTGGCTCATGTATGTCTC